ACACACACACACACACACACACACACACACACACACACACACACACACACATACATACATACACAGACAACTACTCTCTAAAGCACATGCATGCACATGCTTACGCAGATTAATTTTTTTTCACAATAATAAATACTAAAACTCCATTCTTCATTCACAACTTTAGACATTTTTTCATTTCCACCTGTCAAAAGATTATTCTTAAACTGTTGGGTTTTTTAAAGTTTTCTATACGTTTTTGGCCAAACATCTGAATTCCACGTACTTTGCAAAATGTCTTCCTAGAAAAATCCACTGACATCCACAAACATACTTACAATCACCGTAGGAAACAATGAAATTCTACGTCATTTGCCTGCATCCTCTGTAGGTTTAATGTGAATGTCAGTTTCCAGAATTCAAAAAGTTGTTCCTTTTTTAAAAAATTCCACAGAGTGATTGGTCCAAACCAGAATTCCGAGGACTTCTCCCGAGTGTTCAGTTGTCCCAAAACGTCATTCATGAACGCGGAAAAGAAGTGCCAAGTGTGGTAGAAAGGAAAACAAATTAAATATTGACTGGAAAGATAATGTGACTCCTGGAGCCAAGTTACCTTCCAGAAAAAATGGTAGTAACGATTATTTGGTATTTGCATTAAATTAGTTTTAACTGATTCAGTAAAATTATATCAGAGTTTGAATTCAGTTACTTTTACTTACTTTTAATATTTTTATCCGCCGCTTATACCCTTCTGGGAGTCGCTTGGCGAAAGAGACGTCTCTCTGTCGCCAGCCTGAGAGCTTGGATTAGAGGGATGCCGTGGGTGGTTAATGTTTCCCGGACTCAATCTATCCAAGTTTGAATTCAGTTAATATTGTAAAATGGGCTATGGCCTTCTCATACCATTTTGGAGTCAAAACTTGGAAAGAGGTTGAAATGATAGAAAATAGGAATAGACCAGAATAGCGCTAGTAAACATATTAATATTATTACTGTATGGGTTCAAACGTAGAAATTTAAAATTTTCTAGCATTTAAACGATATATGGCATATATACATTATATTTAGAAGAGTTTTTTCCAATTATGTAACGGCAAATGAGGTAGCGGAAGCGGACAGTAATAGAACAATTAGCTTCCAGCCGAGGAAAGGGTGACGAGTAGTTGACACTTAGTTTTTATATCTAGGAAGATATAACATTATTTCAAACAGATTATAATATATTATGCTGTTTTACTCAGTTCTATTGGAAGTTTCGCTATGTATCCAATAGATCTATATATTATTATTATTATTATTATTATTATTATTATTATTATTATTATTATTATTATTATTACAGTCCATGCCGGCTTTAAGCACGGTCATCGGGAGAAAGCTTAAGCCGAAGCGTGCTTAAGTGCGAAGTAGACATAATCCAGAGATTTTCATGTAGAAAATACCCCGTGCTATTTCCCTTTGTTTGTAAGTAGGATTATAGCGGTCCTGCAAGAGTGTGCACTGTTATTTAGACACCCGCCATGGTAGTTTTTGTTCACTTGTTTATTGTTTGTTTTTGTTTTGAGGTCGAGTGGGAAATGAAAACATAATTTAGACGGCCAGTCACGATACAGCACACTAGGCCTATTGTAACACACTGCCTGTGCGTACCACCTGCCCGCTCTGCCACTCATACCACCACCGCCGCCTTCATCCCACCTCGCGCGTGATACACAAGCAGGATTAATGGATAGCGAGGGTCGAAGGTGAAATCGCAACCAGCCTCCCTTTCTCGTCTCCCCGACTCTCTTTGTATTCTTTTTTGGTCGTGTGTAGCTTTGCCCTAGGCCTAGGCTAGATCCTATGTCCGCGCGCACGGCTGTGTGCATCTCTCTGCCTTCCTCTCCACCCGTGTGAGTGTGTGTGTCCATCACTCGCGTTCTTTGTGTTTCTCTTAATACACTCCACTGCTGCGGTGTAGACTGTGTTCGAACTTCGATGGGTCATCATGAAAATATTGACTGTCTTGTAAATGAAGCGTGCTTGAAGCCGAAGTTACCGTGCTTAAAGGCGTGTTATTTATATAGCAAAAATTCGGTAAGAGCCGTTTAGCGTGCTTAAGTCCGAAACGTGCTTAAAGCCGGCACGGACTGTATTATTATTATTATTATTATTATTATTATTATTATTATTATTATTATTATTATTATTATTATCATTATTATTATTATCATTATTCGTTGTTATTTTGTTTATTAACATTACTATTATTATTATTATTATTATTATTATTATTATTATTATTATTACTGTTGTTGTTGTTGTTATTATTAGCGTCATTATCGTTATTATTTTTTTTACTATTACAATTACTATAATCTTTTTAAAAAACTTTATTACCATTACTTTTATTGTTATCATTATGTTTGTGTAGTTGCTCAGGACTTGGACACCACAGTGTGTGATTAAATCGTTTTGTTGAACTCTTGAAATTAAACGTCCTGTTATAGACTTCATAATTTCTAGCTAATGTATATTTTTTGTTAAATTTTAAAAAGTTTGCCTATCTTTGTGTGTGTGTGTGTGTGTCGGTATCGTAATTGAACAAAATAGTTATTCGGCGCAGACTCGGCAGTGTCTTAGTTGTCCGGCACACTTTGAAAAATGTCTGTTCACTCGTAATTTATTTTTAATTAGTAAAACACTTTTGAGGTAAGCCATACTCGTTGACGAAATAACCATACACACCATATCTTGACCTTTGAGGTAGAACAAGCATCACGGGAGGAATAATCTTGATGATAATGTTTTAGACATCTTTTTACGGGCGCAAGGGAATTTGAATTGCCTCTCGTGTCGTCAGGAAAGTTTGATCCTGAACTCGTCCCCTCCCCCGCTCCCCCCCCCCCCCCCTCCCTTTTCGTAATGGAATAGTTTAATTAAGAAGCGGCAGTAATGGCAGTAATGGGGTTCTGAATCTGGTAAATGATCTCTGTGCATTGCGTGTATTTAGTGTTTGATTTTTTTTCTTTATTTGAAGTAGCCTACATGTACACTGTTATGGCTATAGGATAATGCATTGTTTCATGGTGGATATCAGCGAGGCCTGACTTTTAAAGAGCTCTCCAACCACAAATGTGTCGGATAAGAAAAGAGTTTGGATAAAAATTATTAAATTTCGCAATTTTGTACATCAAAAGAAAGCAGAATTTAGCCTAAAATTATTTTGTCTGGGAAGGGAGACAAGTAGTTTTATTTCAGTTTCAGGGAGAATACAGTTGTTTTGTCCCTTCGCATTGATTTGACCTTGACCCATAGATAGTACAGCCTTCGAGGGTGTACATGTAGTATCTTTGGATGTACACTATAGTTTGGAGATAACTCTTTGCTTCGATCACACTTAGAGCCAAGGTCCACTTTCTAGGTTTTCGTACGCTTACGTACTCACGAAGTGTGTATGGAAGCGTTCAACCTTTTTTTTCTATATCACCCGGGCCCACTGCGGACGACACGTTTGCTCAAGCTTACGTGAAAAACGTATGACGTTTAGCATGTCAAACATTTCCCGTCCGTGATGTGGCTTCTCCGACACTGATTGGTTTCCTTTTAGAAGAAAGTTGATTATTTTTTGTTTGCCCACTTTTACCTTTAAGATTAAATTAATGCCACTTGACTTTGATCTCAGTATTCTCAGTCTCCAAACTGTGATTTTTATGATTATTTATATAGGTATTTAATTAATTTTTTTTTCCTCGATTGACATGTTCATTTAAGAATAGTCTTTGATCTCAGTATTCTCAGTCTCCAAACTGTGAGCTTTATTTTATTTTATTTTATTTTTCTTTGTTTGACATGTTGATTTAAGAACAGTCAATAAAGTTTACAATATTGTTAATTATTGAATTTGTTATTCTGAATTTCAATAGGCTATAAGTCGTTTTGCTATGTGTTTATTTCTGCGACCTTTTTTCAAAGTAAACAAATGTGCATGAAAAGAACACGCGCTTTTGGAGGCACAGAGTGGGCTCTTACTTAAATGACGGATATGGTAAAGACCATTTACGTAGGTCATACACTATAATGACAATAGCGAAAAGAAGAAGAAGAAGAAGAAGAAGAAGAAGAAGAAGAAGAAGAAGAAGAAGAACAACAACAACAACAACAACAACAACAACAACAACAACAACAACAGCAATATCATCATCATCATCATCATCAACAACAACAACAGCAACAGCAGACCCAGCAAGCAGCAACAGCAACATCTTACCTCAGTGTAACTGTCAGCCTTTCAATGGGTGGAATGGCCTTCCTCCAGTTTGTATTCTGTTTTTGAATATTCTGTCCCCGTAGAATTATGCAAATTTAGAAGGCCAAATTATGCACACAATAAAAGCAAAATTATGCAAAAATTATGCAAGTTACCGTAACACCATTCGCGACATGTTTAGCCCTTTTTCAACATGAAGTTTCATGATTTTCATGTTTTATGTACAGAAAAATTGAAAACAGAACATATCAGTATCAGTAATTTGTTGTGTATTTGAAAAAGAAAACAATAGACATCAGTAAAAAAAAAAATAATAATAATAATCTCAGTAACTTTCAGCTCTAGTGATCTAGAGATCTATAGAGGAAAGAAAAATGGGTTTTTTAAAATTAAAAAACAGGACATCTGGACCTCTGATGCTGGCACATTACTAAAACCAGGGACACCTGTCAAACATGAAACATCAGCAGACATGAGAACAACAACTTCTGATGGATTGAAAAATTGAACACGCTCACGGAACAAAATCACAACCCATAACCAAGATCTTCTAACAAAGGAAATAACTAATTTTTCACTTAAATGAGACTTATTACGGTGATTACGTCCCTTCAGTCACATGGCGAGGCGTTCATTAATTGTTTTGGGGGGAAAACGTGAAAAAACGCGGATAATCCAAAATTATGCAAATGTTGCAGAATTACGCGAAAATCGCATAATCCTACGGGGACAGAATATTATTGTGGTCCACATATGATAATTCCAAAAGGCTTTGGAAGCTTGCCTTTGCCATGCGAAAATATGCTAAGCATGGTCCGTTATCAAAAGAATTTGGTGCAACATTCTAAATTCTCCTGTATTGCCTCGTTCTTTGCATATGGGATGTACATGTACCCAGAATCGGTGGCGACCTGACATAATATATACCTCCTCTTCAACCACCACCAAAAAAAAATCTTCTGCCTTGTTAAAGCCATTTCTCTAGATTTAGGTCTGGCGCGCAAAAAAAATTAACGAACGTGTAAGGACGTGGTGGACACGGGCTACCCGCTACGTTAACGTACGTAATTTGTGATGAAGCGTGATGAAGCTGAAGCGGAAGCGCTGACGCTGTGGACCCCGGCTCTAACAGCGTGTGTTTACAACTTGACGTTTTAAGCCCCATCACTTGTTATCCAAGAGTTGTCATGTTCTGACTAGTATTAAAGTGCCCCGTAATTGTCTGGCGCATAACTGTAACGGTCTGCCGTTTCTGGGGTCATCTGTGACTTTTGATGAACTGCTAATGTCATTTGGTTTGAGTCA